AAGGACGCGAATGAGCAGGAGGCTCATCTCGTGCAGGATGCATTGATCCTCACTATGGATAGTGATTCTATTCCTAGGTCATCGACTCAGGAGCCTCGTTCCACGCCATTACTAATAGAAAGCTTCTTCATAACTATGTATCAGGGGACTTTGGAAAAGTATACTTGGGGGATAATGAACAATGTAGTGTTATTGGAAGAGGAGATGTACAAATACAATTGAAGCGCTTCAAGTGGAATCTGAAGAACGTGAGGCACATATCGAAGCTGAAGAGGAATCTTATTTTGTTTTGGTAGGACAGCTTGGAGCAGAAAGCTATGTTTCGACATTCATCGGGGATTCGTGAAGGATCTCTAACGGTACTATGATTGTTGCCTGGGGCAACAAAACATGAATTCTCTACCTCACCTCACATGTGAGTGACACCCTCGTAATTGTAGCTGGCAAGGAGAGTACGGATCTGTGGCACAATAGATTGGAACACATGAGAGAGAAGGGGATGAAGATTCTACATTCACAGGGAAAGCTAACCAGCATCGATTTCGTAAAAATCGATATTTGCGAGGACTGCACCTTTGGAAAGAAGAAGAGAGTTAGTTTCCAGAAGGATGGAAGGCCGCCTAAAGCTCAGATGCTAGAGTTAGTTCATACCAATATATGGGGTCCATCTAGTGTATCTTCTCTTGACGGTTCGACGTACTATGGCACTTTTATTGACGATCACTCGAGGAAGGTGTGAGTATACTTCATGAAGCACAAGTCAGAGGTGTTCGAGATCTTCAAAAAGTGGAAAGCCATCATGGAGAATGAGACAGATCTAAAAGTGAAATGTTTGAGATTAGACAACGATTGAGAATACGAGCTGGAGGAGTTCAAGATGCTCTGTGCTCTAAATGAGATTCGTTTGGAGAGGACCACTCCAGGGACGTTGCAACAAAACGGCGTTGCAGAGAGGATGAATAGGACATTGACGGAGCATGCCAGGAGTATGCGATTACATGCAGGTCTGTCTAAGATATTTTGGACGTATGAGGTGCATACGGTAGCTTACTTGATTAATCATGGGCCATCAGTTCTATTGGATTACGTGATTCTAGAGGAGGTTTGGAGTGGCAAGAAGATCACTCACATTTGCGAGTATTTGGTTGTGTGGCATATGTTCATATTAGTGACCATGTCAGGGACAAGCTACAGGCTAAGTCACATAAGTACATATTCATTGGATACGTCATTGACGAGTTCAAGTATCATCTTTAGGATGAGAATAACAGAAAGATCATCAGAAGTAGGGATGTGATATTCAATGAGGAGGTGATATACAAGAACATGGACAATGCCAATGATAGCCAAAGCAGTGGAAGCAGCATTAGGAATACAGGTGGATCCGAGTATATAGATTTGAAGGAACTTCCAGATGGGGGCCACAAAGTCAATTCAGACCGAAGAACGAAAGAGGCTTCAGATAGTGGAGAACCAGAGTGCTATGAGGAGGCTATGCAAGTGAGTGAATCTCAGCAGTGGGAGCATGTGATGTAATAGGAAATAGATTCTCTACACACTAATGAGACATGTGAGTTAGTCTAGCTACCTACACAGAAGAAAACCTTGCATAAAAAATGGGTCTATTGGGTCAAGTAGGAGAGTAATGGAAGCAAGAGAAACAAGGCCAGATTTGTCGTGAAGAGGTTCTAACAACGGGAATGAGTGGACTATACGAAGATATTTTTCCTCGTTGTGAAGCTCACCACCATCAGAGTGGTGTTGACCTTAGTAGCTGCAGAAGATCTCTACCTTGAGTAATTATATATAAAAACTATCTTTCTTCATGGTGACTTGGATGAAGAAATCTACATGAAACAACATGTTGGCTTCATTAAAGAAGGAAAGAAAGAGATGGTGTGTAAGCTCAAGAAGAGTTTGTACGGATTGAAACAGGCCCCGAGACAGTGGTACAAGAAGTTCGACAACTTCATGCAGAACAATGGCTCCAGAAGATGCAATTCTGATCATTGTTGCTACTTCAAGAGGTTCGAGTCCCCTTTTATTATATTGTTTTTGTATGTTGATGATATGTTAGTTACAGGACCGAGTTTAGAGGAGATAAACAACTTGAAGAAGCAGTTGGCAAAGAAGTTTGCTATGAAGGATCTGGGTGCAGCGAAGCAGATTCTAGGGATGCGAATCAGTAGAAATAAAGCTGAAGGGACGTTGAGGTTGAGTCAAGCTGAATACATCAAGAAGGTATTTCAGAGGTTCAACATGCAGAATGCTAAGATTGTTAGCACGCCCCTTGGAAGCAAATTTACGTTATCTGAAGAGCAATCGCCTAAGACAGATGCAGATAGAGAGCATATGAGCAGAGTGTTATATTCTTTGGTCATTGGGAGTCTCATGTACGTGATGGTTTGTACGAGGCCGGTCATTGCCTATGTAGTGAGAGTTGTGAGCAGGTTTGTAAGCAATCCAGGGAACAACATTGGGAGGCCATGAAGTGAATATTGTGCTACTTGAGAGGGACTACAGATAAACCACTATATTTCAGGAGGAAGGAGTTGGTACTGCAGGGATATGTGGATGCGGACTTCGCTGGTGATCATGATACGAGGCGGAGCACCACGGGGTATGTTTATATATTGGCGTCAACAGTAGTGAGTCGGGTTTCACGTCTACAGAAGATTGTAACTTTGTCTACAACTGAAGCCGAGTATGTCGCGGTGACTGAAGCAAGCAAGGAGATGATTTGGTTGAACGAGTGCCTAAAAGAGTTGGATCTGAAGCAAGGGAGAGGTGTTCTTTATTGTGATAGCTAGATCGCTATACATCTTATCAAAAATCCAGTATATCATGTCAGAACGAAACACATTGATGTACAATATTATTTTATACGCTCGTTGATTGAGGACGAGAAGTTACATCTAGAGAAGATTTTCGGGATTCAAAATCCTGTGGATATGTTGACGAAAGCAGTGACCGCTGACAAACTGGAGTTGTGCGTCACTTCAGTTAGCCTTCACGTGTAGGAGATGAAGGCGCCACACCAGGAGGATCGTCAGGATCGTCGGGTTGATGATGATTAAACAATGGATTTTTTCCGTGTTGGAGGATGCTTGCAAAGAAGGGAGAGTTCGAGTGAGCTCGTTGATTGTGCTTTGGGTCTCCAAGTGGGAGATTGTTAGTCTAAGGGATGTAGACTCAAAGGTAAAATTAAACAAATTGTTGGATAGCAGGTTTCCTAATCTGTTTTGGTAACATAATTCTTAATCTGTTTGGTAACATGATTCTTAATCTATTTTGGTAACAGGTTATTATGATTTCTAATCTGTTTTGTTTTGGTTTTAGAATTCCTAGTCTGTTTTGGTTTTAGGTTTTCTATATATATGGAACGCCTTAAAAGATATTAGACATCAGAAAAAGTGGGTTTTGAGAGAATTCTTCAGAGAGATCTCAGAGAGATTAGATCCTATTTGTGGGCATTGTAATCTTCGGTTTTGAGAGAATTCTTCAGAGAGATCTCAGAGAGATTAGATCCTATTTGTGGGCATTGTAATCTTCTTTAATATTAATCAAAGAGAGATTAGATCCTATTTGTGGGCATTGTAATCTTCTTTAATATTAATCAAAGAATTGTGTGGTGTGGCTCTTGAGGACGTAGGCACGATTGCCGAACCTCGTTAAATTTGGTGTTTTCTTTCTTGTTTACTTTCCTGCAAGTTTTTTATCTATTTTTTGTTGTGATTTTTCCTACTTTCCTACTCTCAAATACAAGGTCCGGAAGGGTAAATGTTTGATTTGATTGTTTCGAATCCCCAACAATTTCGTCCCCCATAATCTGCAAGGTAATATCATCTCCTTCACACAATCCAAAAGTATAACCATTTTCTCAAACAAAGGATAAAAAGTTGCAAAAGTCTAATCAGTTTTGAAGACAAATAAGAAGTCCTAATGTTGGGATTTTTAGATCTCACAAAACCCCCGAAAATGACCAAATGCAGGAAATAGAATCACACAAAATTTAACATGGAAAATCCTTAATAGGGAAAAATCCTGGCTACGCCACTGCTTTCACGTTCTTGCCTTTTTGCATTAATGGTCATCATTAGTGTAACCCATTATGATGTTTTTGTGCTTAATGATGTTTGTAGGTCCTCTGAAACGCCTAATCAAGGGGCAACCTTGCAACTAATCACTAAGCAAGGTCCATCTTTACAGTTCATCCCTAAGCAAGACGCATCTTTCCTCAGATACACTTGGCCTACTATGGGACTCGCGTCCCTTCTGAAGAAGTTTGGAGGCCACTTAATTTTGTCAGCCATATTTCATAGTACGTACTCTTGGATGGCGTTACTGATATCAGAGTTTCTTAACTGCGTTTTGTTTTGCATTTGACAAGAATACAGTGCCTTTATCTTTTGTTGCTGTTGGATTTCCTGGAAACCGCACCATGTGAGTTAATATCGAATAAGCTTCTGGGACGTGAATACCTTTAAATTCTTGCCTCGATGGTGCATGAGAAGTTTGAGCCTTTTCGGGTTTTTTTTTTAAATATAAAAAACTTGTTGTCCAATTTATTTTCTTCGTCAGAAGTTTAGGAGGTGGCTTCTAAAATTAGAAAGATTTACCCTGAATGGATTTCTGAGGATGTGATGTGAAATATGCTCCATGGCTGAATCTCTCAGCGTTGTTTTTGTGAAGCAACACGAAAGTAGTTACCATTTTTCTCTCTTTTGTCAATGAATGTGAGTTTCATGCTTGTAGCTAGGATTGGTCCAAAGATATTGGAGGACTGTCAGTTTAATTTATATGCTAATGATTCTTGTTGTGCTTTGTGTACCTCTGAAATCCACTCAATAGTAGAGCAACAGGTTGAGTCATGAGAGGCAACACATCGAAGACCAAAGAACGTTTACACAAGGCATAAAAGGATAGTATCCAAAACAAAAACTTCATTGAAACTTTTACGCATCTTTTGTATACCATTGTAGGATCATCCACTCCTTAAGTATTTAAAACAAATACCATTGTAGTGTTATTCACTCGATAGATAATTTATTGTAGTGTTATTCACTTGATAGATAATTTATTGGTATGTTTTCCAAGGTAGACATCGAAATATCAAATTTTCACTTGAGGGAGTTCTCAATATCAATCACAAACCGATACTTCACGTCCTTCTTGATCATTCTCTCAAGTGCCTCATTTATATACTGAATCGGAATAATTTCAACCTCTGGAAAAATCTTGTTGGCTGCACTAAACTCTAGCATTTCCTGTGTATCTTTTGAACCGCCCGTTATGCTCCCTGAAACAGTTTTTGCACCTGTCACAAATATTCAATAGATATTTAGTATCCAAAAACTATAAAAACAAGCTCGAAGAAAGTGGGGTTGATCAAGATTTAGAGCCAAAATGATACCGAAATTAAGACTTGCAGGGCTCATTTTGATCTCACTAGGAAAACCCACAAGCACCATAACTCCATAAACTTTCAAGAGTGACATATAAGGATCAAAAGGGTGATCACCAGCAGCAGTGTCGACAATGAAGTCAAGGGTACCTGCTAAAGACTGAAATGGAAAAACACGAAAAAGTACATGAAGAACAATGGAAAATCTGAAACATCCAAGACAGTTGGGATCAAAATATTGTGATATACGATAAACATACCTGCATCTCCTGAGCATCTGATGATATAACAAATCTATCTGCTCCGAGAAGTTTCAAAGCTTCCTCTCTTTTGGATTTGCTAGTACTAAAAACAGTAACTTTTAAACCAAACGCTTTTCCAAATTTTACCGCCATATGACCTAGGCCACCAAGACCAATAACACCAAGAGATTTACCCGGTTGATTCATATTATGACGTATCATAGGCGAATACACTGTAATTCCTGCACATAGTAATGGTGCTGCCTTTTCAAGTGGATAACCACTAGGTATAATGTAACAATACCTGTTGATTCATAATGGGGTAAAGAACTCAGTAATGTCAAATTTCACGAAACTCCCCTAAACTTTATAAATCGGAGAAGAAGAAATCCTTGCCTCTCATGTACTACGATGTAACTTGAATATCCCCCTTTTGTGATTGTTCCATCCGAATCTAATCCGTTGAAAGTAAAAACTGGTCCTTTTGAGCAATGAACTTCTTGTTTCTCGTTGCAATATTGGCAATCTCTACACGAATTTACGTATGTACCAACACCGACATGATCACCAATTTTGAAACGTTTGATGTTGGAACCAACCTCTGTGACAATTCCAACAATCTCATGCCTGAAATGTTGATTAAAGAAATCAGTACATGTACCAAAAGGATTTATGTACTTAGTAATCTTTTATGTCACTCACCCAATGATTCACCTTCATATAACGCGTGAGTTAGAGACCAACTACGTGCATTGACATGGTCCAAATATGTATAGGTGAAACGAAAAAAAAAATTACGGTTGTTTCTAGGGAACGATTAAGCCCTGTACTCCAATTGTCGTGTAACGTTTTTCTCACGTTGAGAGTATTTTCCAACTACGAAACGATGTGATCGGAGATAATGTCATGCTAAAACTATGAGTGAGTATTTCTCAATTATGCTCCAAAACTGTATGGTGATACTCAAACCAACTCAAGAAAGTAAAACTTACCCGGGAACAAGGGGATAATTTGAGTCCCCCAATTTATTTCTCGTCCAACTGTAGTCAGCAAAACAAACTCCACAGTGTGTTATTCTAAGAGAAACATCATCATCTCCGACAACCCTGCACGAATTGAACAGATGCCCGATTACATTATTGTATGAAATATCAATCATGTGCGAATCGACAGTCAATAAAAAGATTATACATATACATGTATCTCAAAGTTTTGATAGATTTGTAAAGAACCAAGTGTTATTGTCCATGGGGTGGTATCATATAAGATGAAGAAATGGCAAATGTGATGCTTTCTTGTTATCTTTTCGTATACGTACACGCAAGAACATAATCAAAAATGCGGGGCCGAACGCACCTGCGATTAAATCTGTGAGGGGAGAGAACGCCAGAAGGATCCCTCGCTGCCCAACCGAGACAACTTCCGGTTTCACCGTCCATCGTTGAGCTCTCTGCTGAGGTAAGTAGATAGCATTACGGATTTGGATGAAATTTACTGCTTTAAATCTAAATAATACAGATGACAGATTGGTTTGATTTACTGGGGGGCAAAAAAAAAAGAAAAAAAAAGAAGAAAACCGTGCAAAAATAATCGCCAGACAAAGATTAATCCCACTAAAGATTCGAAAGGACGGTTATTACAGTTTGGAGGTAGTTACCTCAATCAAGCAAACAAGATGATCGAATTGGGTTTAATCTTCTCGAATGCTAACGAGGGATTTTAGGGGAAAGCTGAGATAAAAGGGAAAATGGTACAGGCACACCACCAACCACACCTTGGGACACACTCTCCTCTCTCAGCTACAGTGCATGGGGTCCACGTGAAATTTTTTTAAAAAATTTATGTGGGTCCCGTGTACTGTAGCTGAGAGAGGAGTGTGTCCCAAGGCGTGGTTGGTGGTGTGTCTGTAGTGCCACCCAGATAAAAGGGGCTGGTTTGATAAGTATACGCTGTTTTCTGATAATGTGTACTCCTATTTAACGTTTTTATTAGAGCGAGGGGAGTGCATCTATGAGCATGGAGGACTTCCACTTATCATACCCTCCAGATGATGTGGACGCCGGCCGCGTGTCAAGATTTCGTTTGGGACCATGAGTGTGAACACGTGACATCTGTGAATCAGGTGGCCACCTGATCTGGAGTAGGTTTGTTCGGTTTGGTCAGTTTTTTGTAAAGAAACCTAACCCAAAAAAAAGAAAAAGAAAAAAAAAGAAAGGCTAAATCGCACTTTATTTACAAACTGTCCAGGCCCTTGAATTGTCCGTTGTACTCGGCGCTAAACTCAAACTGTGTTTTGCTGTTCACGTGCTCGTTGTTCACGTGCTTGTGGCCCCCACATTCACAGGCCAAAGCAATTGCCTTTCGTCACGCATCAAATCGACATCAGCTCAGCCTTTTGTGACGCATCAAACTTCGGTCACTCAAGAATAACGACATTAGTCAATAGAGGGGCGCTAAAAGCACGGGTAGAGAAAGACCTCAACTCTTCTAGTAATACAAGATTCATTGTTCTGAGTTCAGAGAATTTCAGCGTTATTTCTAACTCAATATCACCCCTCTTTGTTGCAATGTCATCGTCTTCTTCATCGGCAATCACATGCTCCATACCATTGCATGCCCAAATTGATAATGATTCAAGGTATGGGAGGTGCACAATCCATGTAGCATTTTTCAGCCTGCCGCATGAGAGAAGCAGCAGTTGACGAACGTTCCGAAGCAGTGATCCACCAGAGAACGTGATCTTCTTCAATGCAGGATTGCCATACACATAAAACGATTTGGTTGATTCATGGACGACTCGGGACGCAACTGCCCAGCATCCTGATTGCCCGACTTTGTCGGTCCTGATTCTTCGGGGGAACCATATTGCTATGATCCCTGAGCGTTTCTTTCAAAACATGAATGCACTCACGTGCCTTGATATGTCATATAACAACATCAGTGAAATTCCTCCAGCTATCGGACGACTACTGCACTTAAGATACCTAGACTTAAGTTTCACTCCCATAAGTTCGCTGCCTGTGGAGTTGGGAGATCTGATCCAATTGAGGCGCTTGTCAGTGAATTTTTCAAGTTCTCTGAGAAGCATCCCTCATGGATTGATACCGAGATTACACAAACTAGCACAGCTGCAACTATTAGGTTCCGCATTTAAAGCATGAGATACTGAAGGTCAAGCAAGCATCGAAGAATTAGTGCTCTCCGAGATCACATCTCTATCTATCGATGTCAGAAGGCTCGACACACTGGAGCAACTCTCCAAAAATCGGCTGTTGTCCCTATGGAGGGTTGATATTAGAGAATTGGAAGGCGTGACAGCCCTCCCACTGCGACCGCTGCTTCGAAACGGCAACACAAGGCGCACCCTTCTCCACTTACTTATCTCAGACTGCGAGCACTTGGAAGAAGTAGATATAAGCTGCCATTCTGAAGAAGAATTCGACAACTTGGAAGTATTTTATGTGTATAGCAATCCTGCATTGAAGAAGATCACGTTCTTTGGTGGATCACTGCTTCGGAAACGTTCGTCAACTGCTTCTTCTCTCATGCGGCAGGCTGAAAAATGCTACATGGATTGTGCACCTCCCATACCTCGAATCATTATCAATTTGGGCATGCAATGGTATGGAGCATGTGATTGCCGATGAAGAAGACGATGACGTTGCAACAAAGAGGGGTGATATTGAGTAATGGTATGGAGCATGTGATTGCCGATGAAGAAGACGATGACGTTGCAACAAAGAGGGGTGATATTGAGTTAGAAATAACGCTGAAATTCTCTCGATGAAGAAGACGATGACGTTGCAACAAAGAGGGGTGATATTGAGTTAGAAATAACGCTGAAATTCTCTGAACTCAGAACAATGGATCTTGTATTACTAGAAGAGTTGAGATCTTTCTCTACCCGTGCTTTTAGCGCCTCTCTATTGACTAATGTCGTTATTCTCGAGTGTCCGAAGTTTGATGCGTCACAAAAGGCTGAGCTGATGTCGATTTGATGCGTCATGAAAGGCAATTGCTTTGGCCTGTGAATGTGGGGGCCACAAGCACGTGAACAGTGAGCACGTGAACAGCAAAACACAGTTTGAGTTTAGCGCTGAGTACAAAGAAGGATCCCTTGCTGCCCATCCGAGACAACTTCCGGTTTCACCGTCCATCGTTGAGCTCTCTGCTGAGGTAAGTAAATAGCATTACGGTACAAACTACCTGTATTTTTTGATGCAAAATTACGGATTTGGATGAAATTTACTGCTTTAAATCTAAATAATACAGATGACAGATTGGTTTGATTTACTGGGGGGCAAAAAAAAAAAACCATGCAAAAATAATCGCCAGACAAAGATTAAACCCACTAAAGATTCGAAAGAACGGTTGTTACAGTTTGGAAGCAGTTACCTCAATCAAGCAAACAAGATGATCGAATTGGGTTTAATCTTCTCGAATGCTAACGAGGGATTTGGGGGAAAGCTGAGGAAAAGGGGGCTGGTTTGATAAGTATACGCTGTTTTCTGATAATGTGTACTCCTATTTAACGTTTTTATTAGAGCGAGGGGAGTGCATCTATGAGCATGGAGGACTTCTACTTATCATACCCTCCAGATGATGTGGATACCGGCCGCGTGTCAAGATTTCGTTTGGGACCATGAGTGTGAACACGTGACATCTGTGGATCAGGTGGGCCACCTGATCTGGAGTAGGTCTGTTCTGTTTGGTTAAATTTTTGTAAAGAAACCTAACCTAAAAAAAAAAAAAAAGCTAACTTGCACTTGATGGCGTTTTGCTTTGTATTTGACAAGAATATGGTGCTTAATCTTTTGTTGCTGTTGGATTTCCTGAAATCTGCACCATGTGAGTTATATCGAATAAGCTTCTGGGACGTGAATACCTTAAATTTTTGCCTTGATGGCGCATGAGAAGTTTGAGCCTTTTCGATTTTTTTTAATATAAAAAATTTGATGTCCAATTTATTTTCTTCGTCAGAAGTTTAGGAGGTGGCTTCTGAAATTAGAAAGATGTATCCTTAATGGGTTTCTGAGGATGTGATGTGAAATATGCTCCATGGCTGAATCTCTCAGCGTTGTTTTTGTGAAGCAACAAGGAAGTAATTACCATTTTCTTTTGTCAATGAATGTGAGTTTCATACTTGTAGCTAGGATTGGTCCAAAGATATTGGAGAACTGTCAGTTTAATTTTTATGCTAATGATTCTTGTTGTGCTTTGTGTACCTCTGAAATCCACTCAACAGTAGAGCAACAGGTTGAGTCATGAGAGGCAACACACTGAAGACCATAGAATGTTTACACAAGGCATAAAAGGATAGTATCCAAAACAAAAACTTCATTGAAAGTTTTACGTATCTTTCGTATACCATTGTAGGATCTTTCACTCCATAAGTATTTAAAACAAATACCATTGTAGTGTTATTCACTCGATAGATAATTTATTGGTATGTTTTCCAAGGTAGACATCGATCGAAATATCAAATTTTCACTTGAGGGAGTTCTCAATATCAATCACAAACCGATACTTTACGTCCTTCTTGATCATTCTCTCAAGTGCCTCATTTATATACTGAATCGGAATAATTTCAACCTCTGGAAAAATCTTGTTGGCTGCACTAAACTCTAGCATTTCCTGTGTATCTTTTGTACCGCCCGTTATGCTCCCTGAAACAGTTTTTGCACCTGTCACAAATATTCAATAGATATTTAGTATCCAAAAACTATAAAAACAAGCTCGAAGAAGTGGGGTTGATCAAGATTTAGAGCCAAAATGATACCGAAATTAAGACTTGCAGGGCTCATTTTGATCTCACTAGGAAAACCCACAAGCACCATAACTCCATAAACTTTCAAGAGTGACATATAAGGATCAAAAGGGTGATCACCAGAAGCAGTGTCGACAATGAAGTCAAGGGTACCTGCTAAAGACTGAAATGAAAAAACACGAAAAAGTACATGAAGAACAATGGAAAATCTGAAACATCCAAGACAGTTGGGATCAAAATATTGTGATATACGATAAACATGCCTGCATCTCCTGAGCATCTGATGATATAACAAATCTATCTGCTCCGAGAAGTTTCAAAGCTTCCTCTCTTTTGGATTTGCTAGTACTAAAAACAGTAACTTTTAAACCAAACGCTTTTCCAAATTTTACCGCCATATGACCTAGGCCACCAAGACCAATAACACCAAGAGATTTACCCGGTTGATTCATATTATGACGTATCATAGGCGAATACACTGTAATTCCTGCACAACCAAGAGATTTACCCGGTTGATTCATATTATGACGTATCATAGGCGAATACACTGTAATTCCTGCACACAGTAATGGTGCAGCCTTTTCCAGTGGATAACCACTAGGTATAATGTAACAATACCTGTTGATTCATAATGGGGTAAAGAACTCAGCAATGTTAAATTTCACGAAACTCCCCTAAACTTTATAAATCGGAGAAGAAGAAATCCTTGCCTCTCATGTACTACGATGTAACTTGAATATCCCCCTTTTGTGATTGTTCCATCCGAATCTAATCCGTTGAAAGTAAAAACTGATCCTTTTGAGCAATGAACTTCTTGTTTCTCGTTGCAATATTGGCAATCTCTACATGAATTTACGTATGTACCAACACCGACGTGATCACCAATTTTGAAACGTTTGATGTTGGAACCAACCTCTGTGACAATTCCAACAATCTCATGCCTGAAATGTTGATTAAAGAAATCAGTACATGTACCAAAAGGATTTATGTACTCAGTAATCTTTTATGTCACTCACCCAATGATTCACCTTCATATAACGCGTGAGTTAGAGACCAACTAAGTGCATTGACATGGTCCAAATATGTATAGGTGAAACAAAAAAAAAAAATTACGGTTGTTTCTAGGGAACGATTAAGCCCTGTACTCCAATTGTCGTGTAAAGTTTTTCTCATGTTGAGAGTATTTTCCAACTACGAAACGATGTGATTGGAGATAATGTCATGCTAAAACTATGAGTGAGTATTTCTCAATTATGCTCCAAAACTGTATGGTGATACTCAAACCAACTCAAGAAAGTAAAACTTACCCGGGAACAAGGGGATAATTTGAGTCCCCCATTTTATTTCTTGTCCAACTGTAGTCAGCAAAACAAACTCCGCAGTGTGTTATTCTAAGAGAAACATCATCGTCTCCGACAACCCTGCACGAATCGAACAGATGCCCGGTTACATTATTGTATGAAATATCAATCATGTGCGAATCGACAGTCAATAAAAAAATTATACATATACATACACGCAAGAACATAATAAAAAATGCGGCGCCGAACGCACCTGCGATTGAATCTGTGAGGGGAGAGAACGCCAGAAGGATCCCTCGCCGCCCAACCGAGACAACTTCCGGTTTCACCGTCCATCGTTGAGCTCTCTGCTGAGGTAAGTAGATAGCAATACGGTACAAACTACCTGTACTTTTTTGATGCAAAATTACGGATTTGGATGAAATTTACTGCTTTAAATATAAATAATACAGATGACAGATTGGTTTGATTTACTGGGGGGCAAAAAAAAAAGAAAAAAAAAACCTGATCAAGATTCCGTTTGTAAATCTAAATAATACAGATGGCAGTAGTTACCTCAATCAAGCAAACAAGATGATCGAATTGGATTTAATCTTCTCGAATGTTAACGAGGGATTTGGGGGGGCAGCTGAGGAAAAAGGGGCTGGTTTGATAAGTATACGCTGTTTTCTGATAATGTGTACTCCTATTTAACGTTTTTATTAGAGCGAGGGGAGTGCATCTATGAGTGCGGAGGACTTCTACTTATCATACCCTCCAGATGATGTGGATGCCGACCGCGTGTCAAGATTTCGTTTGGGACCGTGAGTACGATCACGTGACATATGTGAATCAGGTGGCCACCTGATCTGGAGTAGGTCGGGAAAATTTACAAAATAATCCGTTTTTGCTAAGTATTTAGCAAAATAGACCGTTTTGCTAAATAATTAGCAAAATAAACCTCTTTTTGGCCAACAGGTCAAAAGAGGTCTATTTTGCAAAACAGCTCAGAAAACATACGAGACTACTAATCCCGTATATTTTCTGAGTCACTAATTTATAATTAAGTTAGCTCTAAACATACGGGACTAGTAGTCATATATGTTTTCTGAGTCTTGTTTTTCAAAATCGACTTGTTTTTTCAAAAAAGGTCTATTTTGCTAATTATTTAGTAAAACGGTCTATTTTGCTAAATAATTAGCAAAAATAAACTATTTTGCAAATTTTCCCGAGTAGGTCTGCTCTGTTTGGTCAGTTTTTTCGTAAAGAAACCTAACAAAAAAAAAGGCTAAAGTGCACTTGAATGCCGCTTAGTTTCATCAACCATAAATTTTTTTTCTTTAGATGAAACCAGCCTTGCATTTAGGTGACCGTTATTTTAAAACCGAGCAAATAAATATCTCATAGGGTTTAAATGTTACGTATAAATGTCCCGAAGTTTTAAATGTTACACTTTGGTGTTTTAATGTTGCAATTCGGTACCCTCTTGTTTAACCAATATTATATATAAATATCTTCAGTTTGTAAATAGCATTACTTTAATACCCTAAAGTTTCTAAAAGTTACACTTTAGTATCATGTGTTATGTGATATTCTTGGATACATAGAGAAATATTAACATCATCTAGGGTTTTTTTTTAACTTACAGCCATTGATCTACAACATTTAAATACTTTAACGTATTTATTTGCTCGGTTTAGAAATAGAGGCCACTTAAGTGTAATATTGGTGAAACTATAGCGCATTTAAATACAATTTAGCCAAAAGGAAATCAGGGGAAGAAACTCCTGGAAATGGTTTCAAGCGATTTCCTACAAAAACAAACCTCAAAATGAGTTTCCTAAAGTTAAAGCCAGAAGTAGGATTCAAATTAGAAAAAGGAAATGCCATATTTGAATAGCTGCCTATTCTGATTTTCTGGAACTAAATCGAACAATGAAACTAATTAATTGATTGTGACAAATGCTAATCACAGAAATTGAATAGCACAATAAATCAATAGGGACGCTAAGAAGCATCTATTTATAATAAATAAGGAGAAAAAAAATTATTTTTTATTATTATTTTTTATAGAGCCCATTTTGTACACAATTAGAAGAAAATTCTTAAAAAAAAAATTGGAAAAAAAAAATTACGGACAACAAAGAAAGGAGATAGAACTAAAAAGTATCCTTTTACCTTAATATGCAGACAGGTCTCCGTTTATTCTGAGACGGCCTTATTTATACCAAACATGGTCAAGTTTGGCGCTGGGAGCAACGGCTGTCATGCGTGACGTCAGCTTACCAATCCATCGTCAGGCGTGACGTCATGAGTCCGAATCTTCGAAAATAACTCGCATTGCTTTTCAAGAATCCGACTGGTCTTGGTCTTCGTGCTCCCTCTCGAATGTTGGATATCATAGCGATTCATAGCATGATGGATGTCAGAATACGAACGTACCTCTCTAATAAGAAAATTAGGCTGATAAATACCAGGCTGACCTAAAAAATGACACATCTTTATCATTTTGATTAAAAAGTGACGGGTCGGAAATACTTTGATCTAAAAGGTAATAAATTTGAATCACCGAAGATACTTTTTAAGCAAAATATTAAGAAATTTTACATATAGATCACTCAGTCTCTCATATTTTTTGGATTAACCCCTCTCCACCCTCCCCAAATTCTGAAATTTGTAATAAGAAAAACTCTCTCTTCTCACCATCTCCTCTCTTCTCTTCTCTAGATCCCCAACCTTCCCTCCTCTCTACCACTTCTTCTCCCTCCTTACACCTCCTTACAAAGGAGGAAAAGAGGGAGAGAGAGGAGGGTGCGTTGAGTATCAAGAGGAGAAAAGAATAGAGGAGATGGTGTGAAGGAAGAGGTAGTGGAGCATTTACGAATTCTAAAACTTGAGGGGATATATCCGAAAATATGAGTGATATGAGGGATACGTATGGGAAAAAAACTTCTTTAACAATTCGCTTAAGAAATCGCCTGATGCATGGGAAAGGCTTATGTGTTACCAATTTGGCACCTTTTAAGCGTCGGCTATGTCATTTTTTAGACCAAAGTGATAAAGAGATGTCACTTTTCAGGTTAATCTGATATTGTAACTAACTAAAATATAACAATTTAAAGAAGGAAGTTTTTTTTAAGGGAAAAATGCTTTCAGCCCCCAAATTCGTAACAAATATGCTTCCCCCTCCCAAGACTTTTTCAACGCTCTAAAAACCCCCAAATTCGTAATAACTATGCTCTGAGCCCCCAAAACACAAAGCCCAAGAATTTTACACAGGTAAAGACTATAATACCCATTCTCTCTCTCTAATATTATATTCGTAATAACCATACAATCTCTCCTCTCTCCCTCCTCCTTCCCCCACCATTTTTGCCCTAGCTCCCTCCGTCCCTTCTGCAATCCTTGTGGTGGCCGAAGCTCCTCTCCGGTCTCACGCCTCGACCCCTCGCCTCTGCTCGCTGAGATCCTCCGTGTCCACCGCTGATCCCAGCGCGGCGTCTGCTCGACCCCTCGGCCTTTGCTCGCCGAGAATATTTCATGAAGCTCAGAACCTCAACCTTAACCTGTCCCTGCAGTCTGGGCCTCGTCCCGAGCACGCACGAGTTTTCTCGTGTAACTATTGCAGACAGACTTTTTACAGCACCCAAGCTCTTGGAGGACACCAGAATGCACACAAGCTGGAGCGCAACCTAGCGAAGAAGAGCAGAGAGATGGCTAATGATTGAATTGATCTCGTAATGACACGTGCGAACTTGATGTTTCTTTGTAGCTTCTGAAGCTAATGCATCTAGATTTACTAGCAACAGAGTTTCTTCCTGTCACATGTTTTCTTTTTGGGATCTTTTTCTTTTTTTATTTTCCCCCTTCAAAATAAGTTTTCCTGTTCGAAAAAGAATGCCTCTTCTCTCTTGCATCAACGGTATTTTCTTTCTTCACGTTTAATATACATGTACCCAATGATAGTTATCTTTTCTATTTGCAGATAAGGTTACGGTTGTTAAGGTTACGGGTTGTTAAGATTACGGGTTGCTTGTTAAGGTTACGTGTTGCTTGTTAAGGTTACGGTTTGCTTGTTAAGGTTATGCGTTGATTGTGAAGATTAAGCTTAACAACCAACCCGTAACCTTAACAACCAACCCGTAACCTTAACAATCAACGCGTAA